TGGGCTCTATGAGGAGAGGCATGGTGTTAGGATTGGTGGACCATCTATCAACAATCTGCGTTATGCAGATGACACAACCTTGCTCGCTGAAACTGAGGAGGACCTCACGCACTTACTGCAGAAGGTCAAGGACTGCAGCCTTCAATATGGACTGAGGCTCAATGTTAAGAAGACAAAAATTCTCACCACTGGACCAATTGGTAGCATAAGGATGGATGGCAAAGAGATTGAGATTGTTCACAGCTTCAGTTTGCTCGGCTCCACGGTCAACACTCTTGGCACCAGTAGCCAGGAAATTAAAAAAACGTATTGCGATGGGAAAGTCTGTGGTTAGGGACCTCTCCAAAATACTCAAGAGCAACAGTGTCTCTCTGGAGACTAAGGTCTACCTGATACAGGCCATGGTTTTTGCAATCACTTGTTATGCATCAGAGAGTTGGACAATAACTAGGGAGGATAGAAGGAGAATTGACGCCTTTGAGCTGTGTGCTGGAGAAGAGTATTGAATGTACCATGGACTGCCAAGAAAACAAACAGATTCATCATAGAGAGGATTAAACCAGGCTGCTCCTTGGAGGCAAGGATTCTGGGGCTTCATCTGACATACTTTGGACATGTTGTAAGGAGAGACAGGTCTTTGGAGAGGGACATCATGCTTGGGAGGGTGGAGGGACAGCGCAGGAGGGGAAGACCCTCTATGAGGTGGATTGATTCAGTGACTGGGGTACTCGGGATGGGTTTGTCAGAGGCAATGAGATTGGCACAGGATAGAGCACGGTTTAGGGCTGTTGTACATAGGGTCGCTATGAGTCGCAAATGACTCGACGGCACATAACAACAACAACAACCTTCATAATTGTGTATGAAATGAAGACTTATGATTGAGCAAGTGTTAGCACGAAGTTGTGTCTTGTAATGATACACTACATTGGAAAGGGGGCTGTAGTGACTCAGTGCACTGGACACAAACCGTGGCCTTTTCCCCACCTTTCCCACGTTAATAAGCATCTGAGTTATTTCCCAATTTCCATTAATACAGTTTTCATGTTCCATGAATATTCTTATTATACAGGTGGATTATTTTTTTACAATAAATGGTTAGTTATTGACTTAGTTAAAAAGAAAAACTTGTCTTATAAATAAGTCTCCTAAAAGCCAGGAGCGCTGGTGGCTTGGTGGTGAGGCCAACGCAAGGGATGCGATTGGAATCCCAGCAGCTGCCCCTCAGGAGAAAGGTGCGAAGACTCCTCACATGCGGTTAGGTGCCTCTGAGAGAGTCAGCTGGGGCTGGTTCTGACTAGACAGCACACCACCACGGCAACAAAAACCAGGGCTTATTTCTGTTGTTAGGTGCCACTGAGTCAGTGCTGATTCCTGGCAACCTCATGCACTAAAAGGAATGAGGCCCCATCCTGAGCCGCCTTCTCTGTGATGCTGTGTTGGAGCCCATTTTTGTGCATCTTATTGCACATTTCTTTTTCACAGACCCTCTACTTATCAAGCAATGACACCTTTTATTTTTTTTTAATCTCCTTCCTTATGAACGAGTAGAAAGGGTCGCTGGTGGCATTGTCTACAGGGAATTCTCCTCACTCAAAGGCTACAGCATGGTGGTTCAAATCTCTGGCAGCTCTGAGCTAAGAAGGTGGACAGTTTATTCTCATGCTGTTTAGAGCTGCTGAATACCCTCTGGAGGGTCACCTCTTGAGTTGTTTTTGACTTGTTGAAAATGAGAGTACCTTTTTTCCTTATCCTAGCTCTGTTTTTATCCTAGCACTTTAAAGAGGTCCTTAGCAGATTTGCTTAATCCAATCCATTGTTTTAGCTTCTTGAATGAAAACTTTCAACAGCATTGATTGTGTATCCAAGGAAACGGAAATCTTTGACAACTTAACTCTTTCCTCCGTTTGTCATGATGCTGCTTGCTGGTCACTTGTGAGAATTATTTGTCGTTGCTTTTTAAAATTTATTTTCCTTGAATTGTAATCTGTATTTGCTTTATGCTTCCGCCAACATGGCACAGAAGCCAAGAGTGAATATTACTAGTCTAAAATATTTTTCCCTGACTAGAATCAGAAGTCCTTGTGGGACAGTGGTTAAATCTGTTAACTAGAAATTGTATTCAGTACAAGCTACTGTGTGAGAGAAGGACGTGCCAGTCGACTTCCTGAAAGGTTACTGCCTTGGAAACCTTACAGGCCAATACTGCTCTATTCTGTAGGGTCACAATAAATTGGAATAAAAATGATGATGGGTTCAATTGGGAATAGAAGACGTTTTATTATCTTAATCTATATTTTATATTAACTGATCAGTTTGAATACTTTGGCCAATTTTTTATGTTGAGCGTTTTTTTTTTTCTTTTGGTTCAAATTCCTTTTCCATTTTCATGTATTACTTGGTTTTGGTTTTTTTTATTTTATTTATTTATTTTTTCATGTGTGTGTACCATCAAATCAGATCTGACTGGTACAGGAGGAGATTGTCCCTCCTTCTTAAGCAGAGCATCTGGTGGATTCGAACCGCGCACCTCTGGGATTTCAGTGCAGCTTCTTGCCAGTAGGCCACCAGAGCTCGCCGTATTACTTGCTTTTTAGGAACTCTTTATTACAGAATTTCATTGCTTTTTAGGAACTCTTTATTACAGAATTTCATTGCATATCTTACTTGTGACTTATTTTTTCTGTTTCCTGTTTGTCTCTTACTTATGCTTTGGAACACTTCTCCATCATGAAATTATAAACATATTCTATATTTTTCAGTAAAATTCTTTTACATTTCTTCTGAAGTTATTAATGCATCTGTCATATGGAATGTCTTTGTGTATGCCATGAAGAGGAAAAAATAATTTTTTTCCCAAAAGATAGTTATTCTAATTGTTACCGAAACAGAAGTTATAAGTTGTTATTGTTGTTAGGTGTGGTTGTGTGAGTATAACTAATAATGACCCTACAAACAACAGATCTGAGCTCTGTCATATCCTGTGCCATCTTCACACTTCGTGACACACTAGAGCCTGTTGCAGCAGTCACCATGTCACTCCACCTGGTCAAGGGTCGTCTTCTTCTTTACTGACCTTCCATCACTCCTAGCATCATGTCCCTCTCTAAAAAATAACCCCTCTTAGCCACATGACCAAAGTATGAGAGGTGAAGCCCCATCATTCTTGCATGTGAAGAGTACTTTAGCTGTACCCTCTCAAAGACATATTTATTCTTCTGGCCGTCCATGGGATGTTCAGTTTTCTTATCTAAGATCACAGTTCAAAGGCATCAGTTCTTCTTTTGTCACCCTTATTCATTGTCCAGCTACCAGATGCATAGCAAATGATTGGGAAGACTATGGCCTGAATCAGATACATCTTAGTTCTCAACCTGACATCATTATTTCTCAGTAATTTGGAGAGGTCAACTGTAGATTTTCCTAGTGCATTATGTCTCCTTATTTCCTGACTGCTGGTACCAGGGGTGTTAATTGTGGATATAAGTAACATGAAATTGTTGACAGTTAACAACAGTCACCTGTGGGCCAGAAGCCTCATATTAAAACTAAACAGGAACCAGTGGATCTTTGTATTTAAAAATTGGTTGGTGTTAATTGTGTTTAGGGAAAACGTATGTCTGAGCACTTGTCTGTCAGTTTGCTATACTGAGATAACTTGGGGTTGCTGTGATGCTAAAAGCTGTGCTACAGGTGTGTCAAATGCCATAATGGTTACCCTTGGTGGTCAGGTTTTAGCAGAACTCCCAGATTAAGACAGACTAGAGACCTCTCCAAAGTACTGATGAGCAATGATATCACTCTGGAGACTAAGGTGTGCCTAATACAGGCCATGATCTTTACAGTCATTTGCTATGTGTCAGAGAGCTAGACAATGACTAGGGATGATAGAAGGAAAATTGATGCCTTTGAGCTGTGATGTTGGAGAATAATATTGAATATACCATAGACTTCTAAGAGAATGAACAGGTTCATCCTAGAGAGGATTAAACCAGGCTGCTCATTGGAGGCAAGGCTTCTGAAGCTTTGTCTGACTTAACTGTGGACATGTTGCAAGGAGGGATCAGTCCTTGCAGAGGGACATCATGCTTGGGAGAAAGACCCTCAATGAGATGATTGGTTCAGTCACTGGGGTAATGGGGGTAGGTGAATCAGAGACAGGCTGGCACAGGATAGAGCAGGGTTTAGGGCTGTTGTACATAGGGTCGCTATGAGTCTCAGGTGACTCGACACCACATGATGACAACAACAGTAAGCAGGATTGGCCATCCACTTCTTAAATAACGAGCCTTTGAAAACCCTAGGAACTCTAGAGGAACAAAGTTGTCAGTAGTCTTTATATAATAGAATAATGAAAACAGATTACTGCATTGATTAGTTTGCTGGTTCTGTATGATGAATTACTTTAAAATGTATTTACTTGAAACACTAAACACATCATTTTGAACATCATTTCTATGAGTAAGATACCTTAGAGTGGCTTAGATGAGTGGTTCTTGCTGAGGGTTGCTTATGAGATTGTAAATAATATGTCAGCTAAGGCTGCTGTCATCTGAAGGCTTGACTCAGGCCGAAGGGAACACTTCTAAAATAATTCACTCATGGAGTTCTAGTTGTTGGCAAAATGCTTGCTCTTTCCCATAGGGTTCTGGGCATGGACTCTCCCTAAATTCCTCACATGTGGTAAGTATACTCCCAAAGAACTTGAAGTCCTAGAGAAAGCAAAGTGGAAAAAAAGTCTTTGAACCATATGCTGTGTTTTCTGCTGTGTTTTGTTAGAAGATTGTTACAGGTAGTGTCCACAGTTAAAGGAAGGGGGAGATTAGCCTCCATCTCTTGAAAAGAATGTTGACAAAGAATATGGGTGAACAAACTGTATTTTTTTCCAGCCAGTACACAGCATGTATTTATTTTGTGGATGTTTTCACACATATTTTGAGACACAGAGAGGATCCCAGGAAAGGAAAGACTAGTTAATAATGTTTGACTTCTTTTTTTAGGACACTGCTTTAGGTAAACCACGAGAGGTGTTTCGGCTTCCTGCAGATTTGACAGTGTATGACAATCACCTTTGTGCATCTATTCATTTTACGTCTTCAACTTGGGTTACCTTGTCAGACGGAACTGGAAGATTCTATCTCATTGCAACAGGTGAACGTGGAAATAATGCTTCTGAAAAATGGGAGGTGAGGGTGCCTTATTTTTTAAAACTTATGGAAAGTCTAGGAAATCTACGTGTGTGTGTCTGTGCGCACACACACACAGATGAGGCCCAACTTGTTTTTTAAATAGGATTTTCAAGGTTAGATGAAGTGTGATCTCTTGAGTTTTATAATTTATGTTTGACTCTCTTTAAGTTATATATAATACATAATTTTTATAAGACTGATAAATTATTTTGACCTATAGCTATTATAATTACCAAGAACTGCCTTCACTTATTAAATAAGTATTGAGGGCTTTATATGTATACAACATTTCACTAAGCATTGACTTTAACTTCTGGAAGAAGATTTGACTAAAGAATTATATTGAGATACTTTTTCTACTCTATTCTCATGCTAGATTGTAAGCATGTTTATACTGGTCAAATGATGAGTTTACCAGAGACTTAGCGAAATATAGCATATATTTACATACTAATCTCTTAAGAATTTTCTTTAGACATTTTTTAAATTGGACATATTTAAATATGGAGGACGGTTAAGATTTTAGCAGCAATATGTAAAGAATTAATTTCTCTGGAGCCATAGTTTTTGGTAAGTAGAAAAGAATAAGGCTGGGTTGATAATGAAATGTATTGCTCTCAGCTCATTTGAATTATACTAACAAGGTTTCTCCTTGGAGGTAGATTTTGAAACTCTTTCTCACATACTTTGGGAATGGTGTCAGGAGGGGCCAGCCCTTAGAGAGAGAAGGACATCATGCTTGGAAGGGTGGAGGGTTAGGACAGGAGAGGAAGACTCTAGAAGAAATAAATTAACAGTGACTGTGGAACTGGAGTCAGGTGTGTCAGAGATGATGAGGTTGGCGCAGGATAGAGCAAGGTTCAGAGCCGTTGTTCATAGGTTCATTATGAATTGTAATTGACTTAACAGCACATAACAACAAATATATTAGTTTACTGCCTTTACTTCTAGGTATGTAAAAGATTACAAACTAAATCCTGTACAATAGCAAATAGCTACAAAAGCACACATTAAATGTTTGAGAAAGATTAGTAAGACCTGAAGACCAAATGGTTTTCCTGTGTTACTAAAATTATATACTAAATGATACATTTATTCTGTTCTATAGATATATTTTTTTTCCTATTCCAGTGTTTTAACATCTAATCAAAGAAAAAGAAACCTTCATAATAAACAGCTACAACAGCCGGAAGCTGTTTACATTGCTGGTTTCAAATAAATATTACTTTGATCCTATGATCTTTTCTCTTCTGGTTCCCAGTAGTGACTTTTACCTGTGTTTTTAGTAAACCAATATTTTATAGTACAGCTACTTAAAAAGATTAGAAGTTTTGAAAGTGATTGGTAAGACACAGATGCAGAAATTTGTTACTAAACTGAGTGAATTCTGCCAGCATTTAAGGAGAATATGAAAGACAAATGGACCCAGGAGGCTTCAGCTTAAGGATAACCCCATCCATTCCATCGGGAGGAGAGTCATATGGATTTAGAATTCTTTTGGTTTCTCTTAATGTATATTCATCTTATTTCCACATATTAGGCTTTCGAGACATATGTTCTTAATTCTTAAGAATCTTAAGTGAGAAGTTTAAATCTCCTTCATTTCTTCCTCAGTTTACACTGCTGTAATGAAATAACCATGCCTCTAGTGTTTTACGTTGATAGCTTTTCCTGGACATTGGTGCTTAATAAAGTAGAAGGAATACTATAGAATCTAATGACTTTAAAATAAATAAACCTAAGTGTGGTTTTGTAGTTTCAGATGAATTGGTGTAACAGTGGAGCCTAGAGGTCAGAATGGTTGGGACTCATGATAGGCTGAGAGGGGACTTAGAGTAGTGATGATGATTTAAGTGCAGAAGTGGATTCCCAATGTGTTGCCTCACATGTGAGGACTCTATACACAGTGGAGATGCAGACTTGATTCAGAAGCCAGAAACTTCAGGGTAATGAATTTTTTAAGTCCAGACATCTACTCTAGTTTCATTCCCAACAATAATTGGATAAGAGAAAAAGAAAAGGAGCAAACAAGCCAGGTTCTTGTTCCTGGTGATAATCTTTTCATGTGCTCTTCCTCCTCTGTGGTCTCCCATAACTCTGCTATTGAGTCTGTTTCTACTCAGACTAGAACTGCCCCGTAGGATTTCCAAGGCTTTTGTGATGTTGGAGAGAGTACCGAGTATCCCATAGACTGCCAAAAGAACACAAACAGATATATCTTTGAGAAGGTGCACCTAAAATGTTCCTTAGAGGCAAGAATGGTGGACTTTGTTTCACATACTTTGGGCATGTTGTTAGGAGAGACATATGGGAAATATGGAGGGTTCATGAAAGAGGAAGACTCTCAGTGAGATGTATTGACACAGTGACTTTGGCAATAGACTCAAGTACGTCAGAGCTAATGAGGATGGCACAGGATAGGACAGGGTTCAGATCTGTTCGTAAGTTCACTGTGAATCACACTCGACTCAGCAGCACCTAACAACAGCAGTCTTTACAGAAGCAGTTCCAATACTTTCTCCTCTGGAGGAACTGGTGGTGGGTTTTAATTACCAGTCTTTCAGCTAATAGCCAAACCCTTGACCACTGTCTTACCAGGGCACTTTTGTCTACCATAGCCCCCTCAAAGAACAGCAAAATGCATCCACTCCCCAAAAAACTTGTCTTTATCTGTCCTCTCTGTTGTGAATACTCTCTTAAGAATTGTAAAAGTTTTTTCCATCTTGTGCAAATGTCCATAATAGATTGTGGCAGTCTACTATTTGAATAGTTTTGTCAGAAGTTCTCAAATAAGAAAATTGATGATTTTAAAGCTTTTCATTATAAAAGTTTCAATAAGGATCAGGTTTAAGGAAATTTTCTATTTATCACTTACACTGGCTTTTTTAAAAGCAATTTTAGGATTGTCTTTTAAGTAGCATTTATTGAATTACATCCTTTGAAGGCAAATGGACCCTTTTGTTTTTGAGAAATAAAAGGTTATGGTGGTTTACTGTTTAATTCTTTTGGCTGTTGGTTCTCTACATGAATAGGAAACAAAACAACCAGCAGAGAAAAAGCATGTGCATACATAAGCCTGCACATTCAAATCCTTGTCTAAAGTTTGCAGAAAAGAAGACAGACAGAACAGGACTAGATTGTACTTGTGTCAGAGAAGAGATGGAAGGATGAAGGGTGACACGCCCCCTTCTTTACCACTTAGTTCTTAAGCTCATGTAAATTTTTTTTAGTTGCTCTTTTAGTTTTTGTTTGTGTTTTGGTTTGTTGGTTTTTTGTTCTTTTTTTTAATCCTAGAATATTGGTCGTTTCCCTGTTATACATGTAGATATTTATTAAAGAAACGTTTAGTCTTACTAGCTTTATCTAAAGGGTTTTTTTGTTTGTTTTATAATCTTTCTTTCCTGTTGTATACTCGAATGTTGAATTGTTAGGATTTATGTATATTTCCTCTGTGCTATTTGCATTCATGTAATACATAAATATTTGTGTGTGTATATAATCTTTTTTTTCATAGATTATGTTTAATGAAGAGCTTGGAAATCCTTTTATTATAATTCACAGTATCTCATTGCTAAAAGAGAAAGAAGAACATTCAGTAGCTACCCTACTTCTTAGAATAGAAAAAGAAGAATTGGATATGAAAGGAAGTGGTTTCTTTGTTTCTTTGGAATGGATCACCATCAGTAAGAAAAGTAAAGGTAAAACATAACAAAAATTCTGAATGTCCTTGTGCTAGTTACCATCGTTTGCTGGGCTTTGAAGTGGAACGTGTACCAAATTTCATTTTATGGTAAAACAAGTTTAAGAATGACATACAGTGTTTTTATGAAACATTAGGCATATTGAAGTTTCCAAATATAGACAGAATTATAATTCAGCATGTGATAAATTTATTTTACAGTGGAATGAATTTAAAAATGATGGGATTTCATTTTATGATTTTTTTTTTACTTGTGTCCACAATCAATAGCTATTGTCACAACAGTCAGGAAATAAAAAGGTGTTTTGCTTTGGAAAAACCTGCTGTCAAACTCTTCTCCAAAGTGCTAAAGATAAATGATGTCAGTTTTAAGACAGAGGTGTGCTTGATCCAAGCCATCGTATTTTCATTTGCTTCCTGTGCATCTGAAAGTTGAATAATGAGTAAAGCATGATAGAAGAAGAGTTGATGTCTTTAGATTATGATGTTGGTGAACATTATTGTGTATCCCAAAGATTGTCAAGCGAATAAACAAGTCTGTCTTGGAGAAAGTGTCACTAAGGTGGTCTTTAGAAGCAATGGTGAAACTTCATCTTGGATACTTTACCAGTGTTGTCAAGAGGGAACAGTCCTCAGTAAAAGACATACTGGGCAAAGTGGAAAGTCAGAGAACTAGAGGACGACCCTCAACAAGATGGGTTGCTGCAGTGTCTGGAATAGTTGGCTGGAACGTGTTAGAAAAGAGGGCAGTGTTCAGATATCTTACTCATGGGGTCGCTATGAGTCGCGGTGGACTCCATGGTAACCAACCACAATGTCTGGTTTTGTTTGTTCCATAGATGTTGGGATAGCCGTCTTAGAAAAGAAGTAGTGTTCTATTTGGGGCTCTCTAAAAGTAGTAGAACTGTTTGCACTGTATGCCCAGCTTCATATCTATAAAGAAAGTATAGAAGTTTTCATTTCAGTCAAGAAATTCAAGACTCATAATATTAAATTGCAAATTTTTTTAAATACTCAGTATGAAGTTCGTAAGTCGTTCCAATTTAAGAGTATAAGTATAGAGATATGAATGGACTCAGCTGAAATGTTTTGAAATTCTTCTAAAAGTAACCTATTTTAGTAGGAAAATATATTACTGTGCCTAAGACTTTTGTGGTGGTATTTGCCGTTGACTTGGACACTGACACGCGACTGACCTTCCAGTGCCTTTTCAGAAGCATTGGGCGGGGATTACCCATCTTCATCCCACAGAGCAGCTGGGAGATTGAGCCGCTTGCCTTTGAGTTGGCAGTCCGGGATCTGATGAACTGTTCAGATTTTAAAGTTTAGATGTCCTTATTCGTGTTTCATGACAAATATCATGTAGATTCTGAATGTATATAAAAACATTTTTCTTGTGAACATATTTTAAGTACCTAGAACATGCAGAAAAAACAGTGCATAGTACACTTTTCCCTCTTATATTCAGTTTGTGTCTCTTACTAGAAGATGCATTTTATATACGTATTTGCTGGAAAGGTGAATAAAATATTGTGACTGAAACAGTTTGCCCTTCAGAATCTGATGCTCATCACTCCAGGGAAGGCTGTCATTTTCAGCGGCAGCTCGTACTGCCGTTCAGTAGAACTTTCTGGAGATGAATATGTTTTCTGGGTGCTGCCGGTACAGTTACTGTGTGTACCATCAAGCCCAAACTGACCGAGAGCTGCCCCTCTGGTGGGTTGTCAGATCATTTAATCATACAGGAGTAGATTGCCCATCTTTCTCCCACAGAGAAGCTGGTGGATTTGAACTATGTGCCTTTGGGATTGCAGTTCAACCTCTTACCACTGGGCCTTCAGAGCTCCCTGGTATAGTAGCCACTAGTACTTGTGACTTTTGAGCATCTGAAATGTACATGCTGTGACTGATGAACTAAATTTTAAATTTGATACTAACTTTTTATTCTTATGGAAAGAGCACAGTATTTGTTATGGTATATATAAACTACTTCATTTTATGTGAAATTAATGCACAGTTCTCGTTAAAATAGAATTTTTTTTTATTACAAACATTTTATTAGCAAATACTTTGGTAGTATAGTCCAAGAGGAGTTACGCCATTCATCCTGAGATGTCACTTGAGGCAGCTGAAATCCCCCTGACAACTCCATGAGAGACGGTGGGGAAGGTTCTTCCTGTGTCATTTCAGCCTCCACAGACCTGGTGGGCAGTCAGCCCTGAGTCAGTCATTACTGGGTAGCAGTGAGTTTGAGTTTTTTCTGTTTATATTTTTACAGATAATAAAAAACATGAAATAATTAAGCGTGATACTCTCCGTGGAAAGTCAGTGCCTCATTATGCTGCTTTTGAACCAGATGGAAATGGACTGATGATTGTTTCCTACAAGTCCTTTCAGTTTGTTAACCTCAGTCAGGATCATGAAGAAAATGAGGAGGAAAACATGGCAAAGAAAAGCAAAGGTAATTGTATTTTTATTCCATGTGTATGCGCTTATGCCCTTTACCTTCCTGATTAGGATATGTGAGCTATACCAGGGTAATATAGGTTCTCCCCACCCCCTTCTGAGTTTTCATTTGTATTTTTTTTAAATAATTTTAATGAAAATTTACAGAGAATTTGGATTTCCATTCATTCATTGCTGAACTTCTCTACCTGCCCAGCCCGCTCCCCCTGCCCCCCTCATTTGTATTTTTGACAAGAATGTTTTATAACTTTTGATAGAAAGCATGAACAGATTTAATAACTTTGTAATTACCAAAAGTGTTTTTAAAAATGGCACATTCAGTTACCTAGGTGGATGTTTGTTATTGTTGGGTGCTGTCGAGTCAGAACCAGCTCATAGCTGACCCTCCAGCAGGTTTTCAGAGGCTGTAAGTCACATTGAAAGAGACTGGCCGTCCTGCTCGCATGGAGCAGCTGCTGGATTTGAACCGTGCACCTTTGGGTTTGCAGCATTCAGTGATTCTAAGACTGTGTGCTCTATGGCGCAGTACTCCTGACCAAGAAAGCTCCACTGCTCTCTGATGGTTCGCGTACACCAGCAGCTCCTCAGTGTCCTCCTAATGATTTGTAGACTCAGAAACCCAGCCTGGGGCCACGGTGCGTCAGAATTGACGCGACAGCGTTGTGAGCAGTGAAATACACTGTAGCTGTTGATTTGAAATGATAGCATGGTACTGATGTTGATGAAGAGTTATGTGATTTTTTTAAAAAGAAAACTCTTAAAGCTGAACTTGGCTTATTATTGGTATTTGCTTAGGAGAGTGTTCCCCCCATCATACGAAAGGTATCCTGCATACTTGTCATAAACTGAAAGAAGTCAGAATTACAATTTTTTCCTAGTTTTGAATGAATCTCTTGAACAGTTTTGAATGAATATGCATCTTCTGTATGTTGTTGTGAGATGCCATCAAGTTGATTATCACTTTTAATGACCCTGTGAACAAATGATCTGAACCTTGTTCTATCCTGGGTGGTCCTAACAATCTCTAATGTGCTTCCTATACAAATAACAATTTAACAAGAGAACATTCCCCCTCTTGGATCCCAGAGCTACGTTGCCCTGATGATGGAAAAATCAAAGCAGTGGTAAAAACTTGGTATCAAACAGTGTTTTCATTTTTTTCTTTCCTCACTAGAACCTCTGTATTACTGGCAACAAACTGAAGAAGACTTGACAGTAACAATCCAGCTTCCTGAAGGTGTGACTAAGGAGGACATTCAAGTCCAGTTCTCGCCTGATAGCATCTGCGTTGTGTTCAATGGTCAGCTCTTTTTGGAAGGAAAGCTGTATTCATCTGTTGATACGGAAAGTAGTACATGGATAATTAAAGACAATAATAGGTATTTTCATACAGTTTTATTTCTATTTTTATGATCTTTTTTCTCCCTTAGCTCTATCTCAGGTTACTACAACAGTAGATTCTTTTGTAATATTGTCTATTTCCTTAAGATAGATGTGTAAGAGTGGAATTACTACTGCATCAGAGAGCATAATTGTAGTAAAATTTAAAAGTTGCTGGTATAAATAGTAATTGAAGCATATAGTCACTGCTGTGTGGCTTTTTTTTTT